CCCATCCATGCAGGCTGGATGAAGGCAACCCCAAGCTGCTACCAAAGAACCATGGAGATGTTGGACTCAAGCCACCAACTGCACGTGGCAAAGAACAAAGCCAGAAGAGTCAGGAGTATTGGTATGGTTTGCAGCTGCCCACAGGTCCAAGCATCATTTCACAATGCAGACACCTGCCTTGAGCTTTGCCCTGGGGCAGAAATCAGGGTGGTTTTGAATATTTTCCAGCAGGCACCCTTAGCGTTTACCTGCTGACATCAGGAGCCAAAGCTGCAGCATCAAATGAGGAGTGAGAATTCGTGATGCAGGCACCTTCCCACTGTGTGCTAAGGAGACATTCCTCTGAGGTAATTTAAAACTCAAGGCTGATTATTCATTGCTTTGGGAACCATCCCAATTAAAACAGTCTATCTGAAGCTAAGCCTTGAGCTTAAAGCCTTTCCATCTGGGACCATGGCATGAGTTCTTCCTTGCAAACACAGGTCCCTGGGAAGCATTCCTGGCCAGGGAAAAGTACTGCTAATACAGTCATAAAGATGGTGAAAGCCAGGGTTGAAGTTGCCTGTGCCTTTGTGTCTGCAAAACATCTAACTGCATGCATAAGCACCTTGTTTGCGCAGGCAAATATGGATTTAGCATGCAAAGCCTGGCTCCGTGAAGTAATTTTACAGTCAGTATGTACGTGCCAACCTCTGAAGATTTGTCCTCAAACATCCTTTGGATTCCAGAGTTTATCCATTCAGGAGTCAAAGCAACTTCTGCAATCACAGTTGTCATGAAGAGCCTTCCTGGTAGAAATTAGGCAGGGTAAATGTTGTCCTTTCCTTTTTATTTGGCTGGGCTTGAGAAACCTTAGAACTGGAAATGCTGGGTCATACAGGAGCTCCACACAGCCCTTTGGGCACTGGGATAAAATGTTGCTCCGACACACAGGCAGGCCCAGCAGCTTTTGGGAGCTGAGCTAAAGTCCTACTCACCAGCCTGAGGCTCTCCCACCAGCCTGAGGTATGCAGGTATTCAGTGAGACATGCAAAAACATAGGGGAATGAGAGCCACAGGGAACAGCAGGTCAAACTAAGGGCATGGGGAAAGCTTTCTCCATCACTCATCTTTAATACCCCTTGTCATGCATGAGCATCCCCTCACTGCTGTGACAAGTCCCCAGAGGCCAAGAGAGGCCAGGGCATCAGGTGAGTATTTAAGGTAAACCTATCTTATGCTTTCTTGACTCTTCTGTCCTCTATAATCTCCCTGCTCCTTCCCATAACCTTCCCCACTCTGTCACCATCCTCCGTCCCATGGGACTCACCTGAAATGCTGTAGGATGCATTTCTTCACCTCTGTCCCTGCTTTCCCAACTGCCTCAAAGATTCAGAGATCAAGAACTCCAAACGCTGTTCAACCCACCCTTGCATCAACACTGCCAAGCCAAAGGAGGCTTTTGGATAACCAAAGCCCAGCTCTGGGAGCCAATGCTTTAACCACCTACTTCCATGCAAGGAGACAGTGGTCTTCAACATATTATTCAATTATTCAACAGATTATTCAAATACAGCCATTCAAAATACCCCCCATACAGATCTATGTTCTCAACTGCTGGAGCCGACGCACTCCGGTCTTGAGGCATCTGGAGATGGTTTGATCTCCAAAAAGGTGCCAAACACCTCTCCTGAGACATGGCTTCTAACAGCCCATCCTAAAATTCACATTGCCCCAAAATCACTGCCCTTTGTGGACCACATTTTCTGTAACTCTTCTCGAATCAACCACACAATTTGCAGCAAATGATCCAGTTCTGGATGAAACCAGCACATTTTTCTCCTTCTCTTGAAGATCATACAGCCCGTGTTCAAACTGCGGCTGGTGGGAGTTTTTGTGTTTAAAAATACATGTCCCCATCCTCTCTCGCGTACATGCATGGCTTGTGCATGACGATCATTTATTAAAACTCCTCACTCGGAGGCGAGCGGCTGCTGCAGACGAATCACTGCAGGAGAACTGTGATGGAGGAGGTGAGCGCGTTCCCACACCGTTGTTGGAGGGGCTTTGCCAAGCCAAGCATTGCAGGTGGGCTCTCTCTCTTCGTTGGGCCCTCATTTCTTGGAGCTGCCATAGGAAAAACCTCAGTGGGCCCTCATCATGGTCCTGATATTCTTCCTTCCAACTGCCCTCTTCTTTGCCTGTATTATTCTGCCTCTTAGTTAATGAAAGGTTCTGATGCGGTTAAACACTGAACGCAGCCAGTACTACTGACTACAGTGATATATTTTTATTATTTCTTTTGTACAGCACTTCATTACAGTGGTTCATATTATACCAGGAATCTGTTTTAAACACGCTCTGGGGTCTCTTCTTCCTATTCACTGCATCCCATTAATGCATCCTGAAAGGGATTCTCACATACACACACTTTCTGCGGTTGCTATTTTCTGCCCTTTCTTCCCTTTACCAATCTGCATCTCTCCATCCTGCCGGGGGATTAGAGCCATTGTTGCTATTTAAAACAGCTTCTCTTTGGTCTGTGCTCTGAAGGTTGGATGCTGGCCCATCGCTTTCCCACCTGCTTGGATGGTCTCTGCTTGGGTCTGAAATCCCTCATTATGTCCTTCACTTCAATGACGCAGTTCTGCCAGGGAATCGGGGCCATACACAATGGGCAATCCGTGTGCTCCTGCCTCTGCAAGTGTCGAATCAGGGCAGCCTTTGAAGTGATCCACTTGGCCCTCTGAAACTGAGAAATGATGTCTCTGTCTTTACCATTGTACAGAGAGTAGGCTTGAGTGCTGTTCTGTCCTGCAGCATCAGTCCTGAAGCACACAGGTACAAACGGTTGCGACTCCATCACATGAACCACCTCTCCACTGCCAGCTGTGCTCAGCTTGGTGCAAACTCAGGGATGGGGTAAGAAAAGAGTGAATGAGGAAAAATTAGAATCACAGAATTATAGAATTGAGTTGGAAGGGACCCTGAAAGGTCATCTATTCCAACCTCTCCACAGTGAACAGGGACACCAACAGCTCCATCAGAAACCCATCCGGCCTGACCTTGAATGTCTCCAAGGATGGAGTATCCACCACATCTTTGAGAAACCTGTGCCAGTGCCTCACCACTCTTAATAAGCCTTCATATATCAATATGCAGCTTTTATATACATATATATGTGTGTGTGTGTGTACATATTTATGTATATCTATCTTATGTGTGGGGAGGAAGCCAGCCTCTGCAGCTCCACTGGCTGCAGTTCCTTTCCTACCCAGCTGCCTCCAGCCTGCACACAGAGCAGATGCAAATAGAGGTTGCCTCATCTTTATGCCACCTGAACATTAAGATGACAAGGCAATCTTTGACTGCAAGACTAAAGCAGCTTTCCATCCTCTTAGAGCTGCTGGAGCAATTTAAGAGACAGATCTAGGTGCTTGGGTCCAGCCCATTATGTTCAGTGGAGCTGCATCCATTTGCAGCCGTGCTACATTTGACTCCTGTGAAATGCCTCGACATGGGGAATAAATGAGTTTCTATAGGTCTCGGAGTTGTACGTAAATGCACAATGATCTCAGATCCATCTGCTCCCCAAGGCCTGAAAGTAAAATCTGCTTCCAATCTTATGTTTTATGCTTATTGCTGTCATGCTGTTTATACACCCGAATGCTGCACATTCTCGTTTTGTTTAACATAAACAACAACTATGCACCGTCTGCTGAAACTTTGTCAACTGCCTTTTCCTTCTGTCTCGATAATGAAAAGACACAATCTAGCAAATGCATCTTATTCTAACTGTTTGCTTCCAGACATAATACATCAAGCCCGAACGTAAGAGGCGAGGGGAAAAAATTAGATGGATTTGGTTTTGGTAGATGTAACTCAGCTTGGCTTCATGGAATTCAGTAGAAAACACTAAGCAAGCAACAGCCTACAACCAAAACCAGTGCTGTGTCCTTTTTAATGCCATCCCAGAAGTTGTCGAGCCAAGGTGGTCCACTCTTGGATTTATGCCTCGTGAACAGACATTGTATTCATGGGGACGACATTCACTTTTAAGATGCTAAAGCAAGACCTATGCATAGGACTGCCTTCCTCCCCTCTGCAGCATTGAACTTTCTGCCTGTGAACTGCATGACCTTGTCCACTATAGAAATACAGGGCACTGTGAACCTTTCTGGTACTGGATGCTTGAAGATGTGAATGCACACAGCTGTTGTGCCCCATGATACATTCACTGCAGTGGCCAACACCTATAGGGGAGCAGAAGCTATTGTTTTTCATGGGGTCTCCATTATATCCAAGTGTGCCATGCATTCAGTTCCTCGTAATAAGGCTTAGCTGTGGCAGTTCCCCTCCTAAAGTGAATTTTCTTCTAAATGAATGCTCTTATAGACACAGGATTTGAGAAATGATGTGCAGGAGAGAAACTATCTGACTGTCATTTTCTCCTGGACACCAGAAATGTAAGAATATCACTCCTGTCCAAAGAAAATGTCATTGCTGTTCCCTCAACAAAATGACATCAGGTTCCTCAGCTGAGGCTGCAGAACTCATAAGGGGAACAACAGAAAATACAGAAAGAGAGAAAGGAGGAGTGACATTGATAAACTGACTTTAAACTCGCTATGTGCATTACTGTTATAAAACATATGTATCATCTTTGCTTCTGTTGTACTATCTGTGCCAAATTCAGGGGAACGGGGGAAATCCACATGAAAGATCAGCAAAGCTCCATCCAAGAATACAGAGCCTGACAACTTTTAAGTTAGTTGTTTTTTTTTTTTTCCTCTTTCTCAACTCAAATATCAGTGCAGTTGCAACAAAATCAGCTGCCTAGAAGGATTTCTACCCAAAATTCACAAAAGGAGATGGGTTTGTGCAGATTGCTTTCTTTCCTGCAGGACTTCACAGAATCATAGAATGGCCTGGGTTGAAAAGGACCACAATGCTCATCTAGTTCCAACACCCTGCTATGTGCAGGGTCACCAACCAGCAGACCAGGCTGCCCAGAGCCACATCCAGCCTGGCCTTGAATGCCTGCAGGGATGGGGCATCCACAGCCTCCTTGGGCAACCTGTTCCAGTGTGTCACTCTGCTACCAATTACTATCCCTTAGGTTTCAGGTTCAAGCCAACCAATCCCACTATGCTGTATTTGCAAGTACCAGCACTCCTTGCCCAAAATTCAGAGCATCCCTGTGATATTCACTTAAAGGACATATGGACACTCCCCAGTCATTGAGCATGAACAAAATGCAAATCTCCACTGAAGCAGTGTAAGAGCAAACTCTGTGCCTCACTGCAGCATCCCCCATACCAGAGCTGTGTGGGGATGTGGCCTTCCAGTGCACTGCACAAACTGCTGTCTTTGGCTTCCAAAAACCTCCAGGCAGATTGCAGCAGAATTCACAACATCCTCATTGGGCAGAAAACAAACAGGAATGGGCTTTCACAATGTTTTGCAAACTCTAAGGAGTGATGAGGAAAGCCAGAGCGTAAGGAGTCGTGGTAATAATAGTTATTGTTATTGATAACTACTAAATAATTGGTTAAAAAATAAAGCATTACGCATAGCCCTAGTCTGAGCTGTTTGATCATCCCATTTCTATTTTTGAATAAAGAAAAGCTTGTTTTGCTATTACAGCTACTGAAGCAATCCAAGACATATGCAGGGATGCCACACACAGAAAATAAAACACACACACACATCCACCACCACAGACAGCGCGACATTTTCCGAAACTAAAAAAAAAAAAAGTAAAAGTAAAAGAACCGTGAGTTTATCCTGAATGTGGGCGAGTTCTCATTTCACTGAGACAACTTTCTGGTGAAGATGGCTAAATAACCAGCTGGGAAGTTAAAGCCACTAAAAATCATCTCCCTGGAGTATTTCTGTTGCCTAGGGTTTTACATAAAGCACTATCTAGTGGCTGGCAACCCTGCCCATGGCAGGGGGTTGGGAATAGATGATCTTGGAGTTCACTTCCAATCCAAGCCATTCTATGATTCTATGATTCATCCATGCCATTCACTGCCCAGGTACAGCTCTACAAGTTACAAGTGTAACGCTGGGTTGGGCATCTCAGTAACAAGAGCAGCAAGAGCAGTAACAACAGGGAGCTCATGCAGCTCAGAGAGGATGTAGTTCCCATGGCTGGGAGGGATACTGGGAGATGAAGAAGACAAAATAAGGATTCTGAGAGATGCTTCCACTCTGAGTAAACTATTCCAGAACAGAAAGGCTTTTAGCATATATCCTATGCAGATCCTAAAGCAGAAAGGAGCAGCGAGATCATAGGATGGGCATTAGGCTGACTTGATGGATCACCTGGAAATCCAGCTTTCTGCCTTCTGCAAGAAAAGCATATCATTCCAAAAGATAAATGTTCTTAAATGAGAAATATAGCTGAAAACCAGGACTTCCCTTCTTCCCTTCTATTTCCAGGTTGATGTGATAGTTGATCCTTATTTGGGTTAAACCCCTGCCTGCTGGGGCCCTGGGGAAGCTCAGCAGCCACTGGAACACAGCTTTGGCTCAGGGCAGGTTGCTGGAAGGTGTCCTGCTGGCCTTGTCACCACAGGTGTTGAGCATGCACGTTCCCCACACTGTGTCACCAGCTCTAAATTAGGAAACTATGAGGTCAGTTCCATGAGAAGGTTGAAAACAAAGCAGCAGCAGAGGAGCTGATGTTATCACAGAAGCTCTTGTTGAGGGCTGTGTTTGCTGGCAGGAACACGGTTGCATTGCTCATGTCTGGAAGTGTCAGGAGTGACAACATTTCTGTAACAAAAAGCCAGCCTGAGCCAATGTGCAGAAGAAAGGAGCTGCAGGTCACAGTCTGGCTGTGATCCACCTGCAGAAGACCTCAACTCAACTCCAGAACCCACAGAGCAGAGCACAGGCTGCAATATCAGGTCCCTCAAAGACAAAATAAACGTATCTGGGGGACTGATGCCCTGAGACAAAGCAGATGTGAGATGCAAAAGCCCAGCTCATCCTTGCCCTGGTTTTGCTGCAGAGCAAGGTGAGCAGGTGAGTGCAGAGGAAGGGTGGTAATGCATCACAGGAGCCCTGCTGGAGTGAGCAGGGTGTCTGCTAGCTGGGGTGAAGCAGTTGCTGAAAACTCCCCTGTGCTTGTGACATTTTGTCACCATGAATATTTAATTAGGCCAAAGCGTGCCTGGCAGTTTGCAGACACTTTCTCTGTGCCAAGGGGCTGCATGAAGCCTCCATCAAGACAGAGGAAACATGCAAATGAATCCACCACTCCAGGTCATTGTTTACCCTGCAGGTTCTTCCTGCCTCCTATAGGAAGCTAAACCCATGCCCACTCTCTTGACTATTTTACTAATAGCACTGTGACCAGCACTGAGTTGCTAAAACAGAAGATTTGTATGCCTGAGCATTGCAGGGATGCAGAAACCCCTGTTTTGGCTGAAGAAAAGGAAGGAGGTGCCCATTTCAGGTGATAAAACAACAGTATTTCCAGCAGTCATGATCCAAAGCCAGTTCTGCCTCCAGGACATTAGTGCCAGCTTTTCACATCCATCAGCAGATCCACCCTTTTCAAACCAGGAATTACACCCAGCCTTCCACAGCAGATCTGGCATTGGGGTGAGCAAACAGGGTATGCCTGCAGCCAGAAAAACCAGCACCAGGTAGGCTGCACCTGTGCCCGAGGACAGCCAGCAGCCCACAGCTCAAGGGTGGCAGGTCTCTGCTGAGACTTGAATGAATTACAGAATCATAAAGGTTGGAAAAGACCTTTAAGGTCTTCTAGTCCAGCTGTCAACCCATCCCACCACATCCACTGACCTCGTCCCTCCCTATGCCACATCTCCACAGTTCTTGAGCACCTCCAGGGACAGTGACTCCACCACCTCCCTGGGCACCCTGTTCCAATACACACTGCCCAGGCTTCCTCAGCAATTCACCCATAGCAAATCCTTCTCTGGTATTAGAGATGAAGGGAAGCATCTTCCTCTGTGAAACAAATATATTAAAAAATAGCCTTGATCTCTTACTCTTGGGCTCACATCTTTCCCATGAGCACATAAACCTCAATCATCCTGACATTTTCATTGATTCCAATGAAAGGACAAATTAAAAGCTGATCATTAATTCACAGGCTCCCTCTGCCCTTCTCCCACATAGGAACATTGGTTTATTTATGTCAAATATTCACTTGGTGCTCTGTCGCCAGCTGTGCCATTATGCCCCAGAAATTTAGGAAAACTCTGAATCCTGAGGGCTTATCTGGACTACAACAGACCCTCGCCCACTTAGGTGTCCCCTTAACCACCCCCTCATAACCAGCATTAGGATCCTTGGATTCCAGCTTGCCTGCTGTAACCCATTGAAATTTAATTATTTTTCAGTGGATGAGCCATTGGTTTGCACCCACCCTGTGCAAATCAGCTTCCATGTGTCATCTGAAATTAGGGAAGAAAACCAGGCTGTATCACATGCTGACATGCATCCACATGAGAGGGCAAGGAGTGTGAGGGGTGGCTGAGGGCCCTGGGTTTGTTGGGCACAGAGCAGAGGATGATCAGGGCTCATGGTCATACAGCTTCTCATGGGGAGAGGATGGGCAATGCTGAGCTCTGCTCTCTGGGGACAGCAAGCTTGGGTTTTCCAAGCAGAAAACATGGTGTGTGTTTAACACCCCAGAGCTACAGCAGGAGGAGGTCAAATAACTTAGACAAAGTCACAGAAGAAGTCAGAAGAGAAACGAAGAGAGGCCACGGTCCATCTGAAGCCTCCCAGCCCTGTGCATTAACCACAGTCGTCCTTTTCCTTACATCTCATTTTATCCTCTAAATGCTGGAAGCTGTTTAGTGTCTCTTTTTCTTTCTTTTTTTTCTTTTTTCTTTTTTTTTTTTTTCTTCCCTGTTCAAATATTTTACTAGCTGCACTGAAAAAAGGCTACAAACAGTGGGGGAGAATCTCTCATGGCCAGAATACAATGAAGCGCATAAGTGTGAGGGATTGCTCTTTACAATGCTTGAATCAAAGATAAACATGAAAAGAGCCACATCCTTAGAGCATAAAACAGAGGAAGGCACCATTCCCGAGGGGAACAGTAATGCCTTTAACAAATAAACCACCAAAAAGGTCATAGCAATATGGGGAAGGGTATTTTTTCATCCTGCAACTTACCTGAATTTCAAATCCTGGCAATTTGCTAGCAAACAGCTCTGGAGAGCAGCACTGAGATGTGGGATGTGCTGCATACAAAACCCATCTCCCAGCAACCCCAAAGCATTCTGTGGTCTTTCACTGAAGAAACTTCACGCATCCCTACTGCTGGCTGGAAAGCTTTTATCCTTAATGCAATATCAGGCCTATAATGGGCTGATACAACACTCCTGGGCAGTCAGGAATAGGGCGTGCTTTGTGAACTCCTCCCGAGTTGCAGGCTATCATATCCCAGGGAAGAAGGCAAACTCATTCCCAAAACTAGGAGCTGATTTGGATGCCTCCTGGGTGCCTCTGAAGGGCAGATGGGAGCAGCATTTTTGTTTGCCCTAGGAAATAAGCACTAAAACAGCAGTGTTGCAGTCACCTCCAGCCCTTGGGTCGGGGTCAAGATGCTCCCCAGCTGCTCAGCTCCAGGTGGGCACTGGTGACTGCTGCCAGGGCTGTGAGAAGCTGAGGACTTGGCTTCACTTCAGTTTTCCACCCAAGTTATCCAAGCTGGCATGTGTGAAAAGATAAGCAAGCTTGAATTGCCTATCATGGCACATCTTCAAAACAAACCATTTCCTCTTCTGTCCTCCTGCAAGGAAGAACCAGAGCATTTCACACAACTCTGATAAACACGTGTATCCTTCCCAAACTCAGGAGCATGTATTTGGTCATGGGAGAAAAACTGGTGTCATAGAGGTTAAACCCTAGGGGAGACAAAGGGGGAACATGTGAAAACATCAGGGCGTGCTTGGAGCCCACCACATTTCTTGTCAGCCACCTGAGTGAACTGTTTCCATGTCCAGGGGAGATGGAGGGCTGCTGAATATGCATCACACCACGAGGAGAGCTGCCCATCACCAGCGGTCCCATAGAAACAGTGTCAGGGGCTCTGCCACTCTCTGCTGTAGATGTGAAATTATTCTACACTTACATCAAGAGTGCAGTTCTGCATCCGCCCTGCAGCATGGTCTGTGCACTTGGGCTCTGTTGCTGCTATCAGTAATTTTATTCAACAAATGATGAAAATACACTGGAATCGGATAGGAAGGGAGGGACAGCTGCCAGGACAGATGCTGGGACGTGCTGAGCCACTGCAGGCAGTGCAGTTGGTGGGAAGGAAGGTGTTCTTTCAAGGGGAAAAAAAAAAAGATCAGAGAGGAAGCAATCATGAAAAATAAAAGGAGAATGTAGGAAAAGAAGCAGGGAGCAGCTCCTTTCACTGGTATTCCCCAAGCACCTGGAGGCAACTGAAAAGCCGGGGGGAAGAGGGTGGTGGTGTCTTTCAGTGACTAATCCTTTGAGGGAGAAAATCAAATTGATGCATTTCCCAGGGAGAATAGGAGCCCATCACCGGCACCAGAGGAATTCACTTGTAGGAGGTCTAAGTGAAGAAAACGCTTTTATATTTTACTCAATTTGAAGACTTATTTTTTTCCAGAGAAAGGGGGGAGATCCCATCATTAAGTTACATCACTGCTCTCCCTGAGTCTCACGAAAATCTCCTGCTGACATTCATGAGTGTGGGAATGAGTGATGTGGGTATGGCCCGGCCCAGGAGAGCTCCCCTTGCCAAGCACCATGCAGACAGGGTTGGGTTCCCCATAGGACCCTTGTGCTTCGAGTTTCAGAGAAGGCTCAGCTTGTATGGTTTTCTTTTCTGGGGCAATTTGATGCCTTTTTGTGCAAATGGGACCTTTTTGTCTTGCAACTGAGCCAGAGCAGCCTTCATTATTTAATGTATTCTTGGCCACTTTGGCACTTCTTTCTCAGAGCTCCATCCTTGTGTTCACTATGATTTACTGTTGATATTTCCTCTGATTTGTTATGGCCAAGCTGAATAAAGCTCAGGTTTCATCAAGGCATATAACAAGACAAGAAGAAGAAAACACCTGTATGTTTTCACCTGCCTCAAACTCCAGCTTTTAAAATACAAGACAGACAGGATAAGGTCAGCTTTAGCAGTCACTGACACGCTTGAAAAACAGCTCCATTTCCACCTGCTGCCAATGGAAAGCTGCTTCTGAACCCCTCTCTCGCAGCACAGATGAGCAACACAACAAAGCTGAACCTGAGCCAATATGTGGCCCAAAGGCCCAGGTTCAACATGTGCTCAGGAAGGGTTTTGGTTTCACAGCAGACTGATATGAGCCTGTGGAAATGGCTGCAGAGATGATCTCAGCCAGGCCACCAAACCACTTGTCCCTTCTTTACCCTCAAGAGAGATAGAAAGTATCGGTCATAGAGAATCACAGAATCACAGAATGACTTGGGTTGGGAGGGTCCTTAAAGATCATCGAATTTCAATCCCCATGGGCAGGTTGGCCAACCTCTAGATCTAAAAAAAAAAAAAAAGAAAAAAAAAAGAAAAAAAAGGAACTATACTATATTTATACTATATTCTGGTGGCTCTTGTTATGTCTTCCATGGCTCAATGGGCCAAGCACAGGCAATTCGTCTTTTCTGTGGCTAAATCACAAAGCCACTACCAAAGCCACTACCCCACTACCACAAAGCTGGTAAGACCAGCTCTTTGCACCCTACAAGTGCTCTGCTAAGTGTTCCTTACGAGAAAAAAATTGCCCTTTTGCTATTTCCATGTGGATACACCCCACTGGGAGCAGGGAACAACTGGATTAGACATTTTTCAGACTCTGGCTAGAATTCAGTAGTGCTGGAACACAACAATGGCATAGAATCATAGAAATCATAGAATCATAAAGGTTGGAAAAATCCAACCATCAACCCATCCCACAATGCCTGCTAATCATATCCCTCAGTGCCACATCTCCATGGTTTTGGAACACCTCCAGGGACGGTGACCCCACCACCTCCCTGGGCAGCCTGTGCCACTGCATCACCACTCTTTTGGAACAAAGTTTTTCCTAATATCCAATCTGAACATCCCCTGGAACAACTTGAGGCCATTCCTCCTCATCCTATCATCAGGGTTTGCAAAGAGCACTGGGGTGCTCAGCCACAGCACACACAGCCAGCCACTCTCAAGGATGCACAGCATTACAAGCAAAGTAGCTCTCAGAAATGCAGCAAAGGGCTGCTGGAGGGCTCCTGTTTGCACTGCTCCGGGCAGCCACGTTCCCAAGCAAGCATGGGGCTCGGGGAGAAGAAAGGATTTTGCACGGTTCATGTGTCAGACACAGCCCAGAAAGGTCAATCGGTTTTGCAGCGGGAGCCAAAGGAATGGGAAAACTGTAGCTGATTCGGAGGAAAGGGGGAAGGGGAGAAAGAATCTGTGACCGCGCCAAGAGCTCTGTAAACAAATTTCACTGCAATGTTGCAGATGAAAGAGCAGCGCCCGGTGAGCGGGCTCCAGTCCCTGGGCATAAATCAGGAGCTGCTCTCAAACCCTGAGGAAGTCACACTGGTGTGGGCAGGAGATCACCCCCTCCTGCTCTGAACAATGGCGCTGGGTCCCCAAACATGCTTCCCCTCATCCAAACGGGTGTCTCACTTGGGTGGCTGTGGTTGGAAGGAGCTGTAGCCCCGATGCTATCCCTGCCCGCTTTAGGGCAAGCATTGAAGCACATTCGCCTGCAGGAGGGAAGGTTTCACCTCTCACCTCTGCTGCTGCCTCCCAGCCTCGCTGAGCATCCCTGCGTGTCCAGCAGCACGCGGGTGCCCACTCAACCCGTGAAGGCAAAGGGCAGCCTTCCCACAAGGAGATGAGCACTGACAACGAGCGCGGCTCGCTGACAGCACGCTGAGCCACGAGCCACTTTTTACACCCTCTTACAATAAATATGAGCTGGAGGGGGGCTGCGCTTTTCCCACTCTCCCGCCAGCATGGCCTCTCATTGTTTACTCTCCCCCAGCAGTCCAGGCGCTCTTGTTAATGTGCTGTGATTGAGTGCTTTGGAGAGGATGGGTTTGGGGTTAGCTCCCGGCTCCCTTCGGAGAGCTGTTTACTCTTCAGTGATGCCTATGGCCCGCTGAAGACAGCGCTCCTCCACCCCTGCTGGGTCCATCTGCTTTGTCTGCCTGTTTTCCTGCTGCCACCGGCAGGCAGCTGGCCTGCGCGTTTCAGCCAGTGCTGCAAACCCCTGGAGGAAAAAAATAAAATTAACCCCATCAGGAAGGGGGCTGGGAAGGATGGGGAGGAAGGAGAGAACCGGGCGGTCACAAAGGATGGGGCCCAGCTGAATGTCACAGTGCTGTTGGCACCATGTTGGGGTTTGGATGGGTTTTTTTGCTTCACCCATCCCATCCCCCAAGAGCCCAATGCAGCAACACGGCTCTCCGCCATAGCATGGGGCTGCTCTGTTCCCCTGTTCTGCCACCCCAGCTGTGCCTCCGTCATTGCCCTGCCAGAACGCTGCACTTTGGTGGCAGCCATCAGTTGCTGGAAATCTGCACGTGGTCTCAGGTCTCCAGAAAATAAGATTTATAGACAGTCAGGACCACAGCTGGCAAACGTGGAGTTTTAGTGGAACTTTTGGAATGGGTCCAGAGTATGGAGAACATCTCCTGTGAAGACAGGCTGAGGGAGCTGGGGTTGTTCAGCTCAGAGAAGAGAGGGCTGTTGGGAGACCTGACTGCAGCTTGCCAGTACAGAAAGGGAGCTTATGAACAGAAGAGGGACTGACTTTTTATTCAGCCTGATAGCGATGGGACAAGGCGGAACAGTTTTAGACTAAAAGAGGTGAGATTTACTTTAGATATTAGGAGGAAATTCATTACTTAGAGTGGTAAGGCACTGACACAGGCTGCTGAGGGAGCTGTGGATGCCCCATCTCTGCAGGTGCTCAAGGCCAGGTTAGATGGGGCCCTGGGCAGTCTGAGCTGGTGGGAGGCAGCCCAACCATAGCAGAGGCTTGGAAATAGATGATCTTTGATGTCCCTTCCAACTCAAGCCATTCTGTGACTCTATGATTCTGAGTTGTGAGGCCACATCCAGAAGAACAGAGATTCCCTGACCAATGCCTTCTGAAATCTCTGCATATCCTCCTACAAATCAGACCCTTTGCAATTCAAAGTGTCAATAAAAAATGAAAATGGTAAGTGTGCTAAAGTTCCATCCAGGGAACTGTCCTTTCCCACATCGTAGCCACATCTTGGATCCCTTTGTGTCAGCGGGCAGGAATAGCCATTCAGGTGAGATATTAGGAGACATTTCTTCTCAGAAAGAGAGGTGATGCATTGGCACAGCTGCCCAGAGAGGTGGTGGAATCACCATCCCTGGAGGTGTTCAGGAACTGTGGAGATGTGGCACTGAGGAACACAGTGGGCATGGTGGGGAATGATTGACAGTTGGACTTGGTGATCTTAGTGGACTTTTCCAACCTTAATGATCCTGTGGTTCTTTGATTCACATGCTGGGTGCATGCAGGCTGATGCAAGCACATTGCAACCACACACCCACCATGCAGACACAGCAACTGTACGCATGAAGGTATGCCGTGCCAGTGCTTCCCATGCATCTCTACACCCTTCAGAACTCACTGAGAGGAAATTATTCACATGGTGTTATCATAGAATCATGGAATCATTAAGATTGGAAAACACCGCTAAGATCATCGAGTCCAACCACCAACCCTCATGCCCACTAAACCCCTGTGCCAATCATTTCTTCTGAAGTTTCCAGCTCAGAGCACTGAGAGTGGCTGGGAACAAGGACATTTCTGCTTTGCCTTTGTCTGCATCTGAGATCTGTAGGCATAAACACGATCTGTGCTCCTTCACACACGACACTCCTAGATAATGGGAAAAATAAGTGGAACCAGGAGTTAGCTACAGTTGTCAAACCAATATTATATGCTGGGGAAAGCAGCAAGTATCGCTAATCTCCAGGGAAGACAGAAAGCCCTTGTGCACACAAACTCCTGTGGATAAATAGGTGCATAGGATCAAGCATCCCCCAGGGACCTCAGCCTCTGAGCATCTTTTCTTCCCTCCACACCACCCACTAAGCCCATCACCCCATGCCAGTCCTGGAAGAGCAGCAGGCAGCGGGTGCTCATCAGCAGGGACTGATGCTTTCATATCCTACGTGTGCACTGCTGCCCACAGCAGCCAAAGCCTACTGCAAATCATGTCCACCCCGTCCTGTGCCCTCTGCGGTTTGACGAGTGAGCTGCACCTCCTGAGTGGCACTTTGTCTGCATGACTTGCTCTCTAGGTATGTATACTGCTCCTGCTGACATTAAAGGGAGATGCTTTGGTGCCTTCAATATAAAACAGAATCTCCTCATTTTCTGAGGCCCAATCCAGGCTGTATTTGCAGTAGTCAAAGTATCTGTAAATTGCAGTTATGTGGATGTTCTGCCTCTGGTCTTTGTTGCACCATTAGAGACACTATTTTCTTAGTCTCACTACTTCTCTCTTTTTCCAAATAAATGGCTTTGCTGATGCCAGCTCCATACCACTGCCCATTGGAAAGAGCTACAGGAGAGGAAGGCTAAGGGTATTCACTTCCCATTCCCAAAGCCTTTTACTCTAGAGAAAAAGGAAGAAAATGCCATCTGCTACCTGTTGGGGACTGATTTCCCACCAGGAAAATCTGGTTGCCCAACATCTGGCCTGATAGCCTAGTGAGATGGTTTCCAGCAGCAGTGTGCATGCGTTGCACACCCTGGTCACAGCTCAGCAGCACCAGGCTGTCTGCAGAGATAGTGACAACAAAAATCCCTGATTTACCCTAAGTCTCTGCTAGCAGGATCCTCTGTGCTCAGGGAACACAGCTACACCTGTATGGAGGAAAACAGACCACCTCAGGAGTGGAGGCACCTCTTCCCAGGTGGGAATCATTCCAGAACAATTACTATTTTGTGCACATTAGAACCCCAAAAGCCTCATGGTAACCTATGTTACAATGCTGTTTCACACTCAGAAATGAATTGTGTTGAATTATGATTTTATATTTTTTTATAAGGCAAAGGTTGTGAGGAGACAGACTGGAAGAGGGATAACAGAAGACCTCTGGGTGTTGCACCTCAGTTTCCTGCCCGTTTCTTCTTCTAAGGCACAGCATTGTAAAAAAAGATGCAACCTCTGTCCAAATTTCAGAGACAAGGAAACTGATGTGATTTTGCTCATTTTTTTGGTATCTGGATGAAAGTGAACAAGCTTTTCAGCAGTCTGACAACAGAAGCTTGGCAATGTCACCATGAAGCATGAGAAAAACCATGAGTCAGGTTTTGAAATCATGAGATTGGCTAAAAAATATAAGACTTTCTTTTTTCTTGTTATTCATGCATCTGTTTAGAAACAATACGCATTCTTCGTGTTCAGCTCCAGTTCTCTGAAATGTCAGGGTCTGGGCTTTTAAGGAAATTTATCTTTTTCAGCCAGAAGGAATAAGATTTTATTTTCTCATCAGCGATTCTTGTGTGGTTGCATGCTGCAGAGCTGGGGTTCAGGGTGGGGGAAGGAACACAGATTATAATGGGACTTGCTGTCAGTTGAATGAGCTCCCTGGTCCCATACCATGTGGGTAATGATTGGACTAGTTGATCTTAGTGGTCCTTTCCAATCTTAATGACTCTTTGATTCTACTTGTCCACAGCTTGTGTTGGGCAAGGTTATCCCCATGCACACCATAAATTTCCACCAAAATTTGCCAGGTCTGGCATTGGGACATATGGAGATGTGGAGTCTCAGTAGAGCCCACCAGGATTCCTGCATGGAGATGCTGCCCTCAGGTTTGAGGTCTGCATCTCAGCAGTCTCATAAACTTGATGTTAAAGCCCTTCTGCTGCTTCAGTGGGGCTGAGAGTCCTAACAATGAAATGAAAGGTGTTGTGATAAAAATAAAGCCAAAACATTTCTCTGCCCAGGAGAACCTCACTGTAGTTGTGGTGTGTGGCAGCCAATGCATTGCCACAATCAAGAAGGACCAGAGTTAGGCCCTACCCTGAAGAAATGGGAACTTTTCCCTAAGTCTTGCAGTAAGCAAAATAAATTTAAAAAATCACTGTGTTCTTTGAATTAAAAATAAAACATAAACTGTGTATGAAGCATTCAGCCACGGAAAGATGTTTATGTGGCTCTTGGGATCCTTTTCTTTTCATCAGAATTCACATGAAAAGCCCTGTCACTGCTTTACATGTCAGCATTAACTCCTCCAAAGCTATGGCATCAGATGTGGGAAACTGCTGACAAAGCCCCCACTGCTGGCAGACCCTGAGCAGCTGCATGGGGCTAGAGATTGCTTGCTAAAACTGCAGAAATGGACATGAGTGAAGGAGGAAAGAACAAGAGAATCATAGAAACATTAAGGATGGAAAAGCCTACTCCAAGTCCAATCATCAACCCACCCCATCATGCCCACTGACCACATCCCTCAGTGCCACATCTCCACAGTTCTGGAGCACCTCCAGGGGACGGTGACCACCATCTCCATGAGCAGCTGTGCCACTGCATCACCACTCTTCTGGAGAATAAGTTTTCCTTAATATCCAACCTGAACAACAGTCATCGACATGCGAGTGCAGTCAGGAACATACCATGTGAAAGATAGCTAAAACCTAAAGGTTTTCTGCAAATGTACCTTCACAGGCATTTCTGCTCCTGATTATCCACTGTGCTGGTCTTCCAATAGCATCGAAATTGCAAAGCTAATTGCATTGTAAAAGTAACGGCCTATGAAATTTTTAATGGAGCAGATTGCACTTAGACTTTTTTCCTCTGTGGTTCAATATACTTCAATATCTTTTCCCTCTTGCAGCATTTGATTCAGGCTTACAGTGGATTTGTACAATTGCCTTCCTCAGCACCATGAAGGCTGAGCTGCAAAGATGGCACCGGTCCATTTTCCACCTGAACCCAGGCAGCTGAAGCTGGACAATCCAGTGTTTTAAGGAGCACCTAAAAATGTATACTCACCCCAAATCACTGATGCACAGACACATGGAACAATCGTTTGGCTCCAGTCACTGAGTTTTGGTATCCCTCTGGCATGGTGTAGTGCAGGGAATGCATGGTGGCTGGGCTTCTACTGCTCCTCCAGGGAAAATACAACTGAGAAAAGGGAAAAGCAAAAGAAAATGTGGAGTGTGTGTGAAGGACACAAACAAGTCAAAGTCAAAGTCAAGCAGCAGTTAAGGTAGGATGAGGGGAGGTCTTCAGCGTCATATGGAGCACTGATGGGTGGGAGCATACGAATGGCAACCAGCTCTGCACCAAGCACAGCACTCAGAACTACACGAAGACAATGAACATGGCCAATAGAGGAGAAGGAAAAGAAGGTGGTGACGTATTGGAGCTCTGTGATTGGGGTGGGAAGAGCCAAGAAGCATGGTGCTCAACTGATGTTTCTTGTAAGTTATCAAATTGAAACATCCTCTCAGCTCTTTCATATCAATATCGTGGAATTCCTATTCTCTCTGTGATAACACAGTGGTCCATCTTCCATGCTGCCTCCAGGAATTTCTGGGAGAGGAATTCCAGCTCATCCAGCCCTCCTGTCTGCAGAGAGGCTGTGAGATGCCTACAGAGCACAGCCCCACGGGGCTAAATCCCATCAGCAGCGATAGGACCTCTGTGGTGCTGTGTGTCTTACGAGATAAAAAGCACAAAGAGCAAATAGAAGAAATGGGGAAATGCCCAGACTCCAAAATCAACTGGCACTCTAAGGTGTTTTCCTCATATAATCCACCTTAAAGATGATCAGTTATGGTCTGAACTGAAAAAATCATTGGCAGATGAAGAACAACCAGTTCTCCCATCGTAGTGCCACCCGCTTTCACATCTGCAGAGAGGATCAATTGTGAAAGCACTGGTGTGAAGCTTGTGCTGCTAACACACACAAACACATGCATGATTTAGATATATTCTAATAGACAGCTCTGGCCCATAACATTCCTGCAGTTCAAAATTAAAATAAAAGGGAGAGACGAGCCATACACCTCTGGTTAGACTCTTGGCTGGCTCAGCACAGAGGCAGCCTGCAGTTAATCAGCCTTCTTTCTCCACTAACTGTCACTGCAAACAAAGGAATTAGCAGAAGGTCTGTAGGGAGCATTGAGATAATTTGGCTGGCTGAAGAAAAGAGAAAGAAAAGAAAAGCAAAACAGAATTACTGAGAAATTTACTTGCACTGACCTCTCCATAAATATTTAGATATAATCATCATTACCTCGGAGTAAATTAAGTTATAAACAGTCTCCACAATTGCACATGATGAATGCGTATCGGCATGAGAGAGCACTTTATTGCAAGTTAATGTGGAAATAGAGCACCTCAATCAATCAGGATGCAGAAATGCTGTCTGATGATATCAGCCTATCTCACCCTATTCACACCAAGCATTGCACGCTCACCCACCCGGCCCCCCTACCCTTAGTCTTCTTATATTAACAAATATGTATCAACCTGTGGTAGACGTAAGTTTATGTACATGGAGGTGGAATAATGAGAGAAGTACACTGCGTGTCCTCGAACATGTTGGTGGTATTATTTATACTAAAGTAACATCTGCAGCAACCAAGGACATGCCCCATGTGCTGAGCACTGCACAAAAACTCATCCAGGAGCCATTTGGATAGGATCCATCTGATGACATGGATGTCCACAACGGGGACTACAGCCGAGCTGACCATCGTCAGCATCTTTCACAGCCAGCAGAGAAAAATCGGCACTTTCTGAGCTCAACTTTCCAGACCTATTTTAGACGTGGAGTGGAAGCAGAGATGAATCATGCCCTGGACTCCTTCAGCTGCCTTGGCTCAATCCCTGCAGTCCGTTTGGGAGCCCTGGGTGACTGCTGCTGAAATCAGCATCTACTCTGCGGACGCCAATTTGATGAGACGAGTCACATCCGCTCCAATTGAGAAGCTTAGAAAAAACAGACAACTGCATGGCAAGCAAAAGAGAATCATCTCTGAACTGCATTTCTCAACTTTAAACCCACGCAGCCTCCCAGGGCTGATGGTTTCCCCAAGAGGTTTTCAGAGCTCAGCCACTGAGGGGGAAACCAGGTGGGAGACGTGTTGTGGAGGCATGGGCTGCTCACACCTCGCCTACCCTTTCACTTCAGTTTTAGAACTGAGATTTCAGATCTTTGCCTTTCCTTCCAGACACTCTGCTCCTGCTGGATTTCACCTTTATCTCCTTCCCACCTCAACCTTGGGCAGTTGCATGTACATGGCAGGTAAGCTCTGCAGTGACACTGCTTGGTAAATCATAGAATCACAGAATGGCTTGAGTTGTAAGGAACCTCAAAGGTCATCTAGCTCCAAACTCCTTGCTATGGGCAAGGACTTCAGAAGAAATGATGGGCACAGGGGTGTAGTGGGCATGAGGGTGATGGCTTGGTGGTTGGACTCGATGATCTTAGTAGTGTTTTCCAATCTTAATGATTCCATGATTCTATGATAACACCATGTGAATAATTTCCTCTCAGTGAGTTCTGAAGGGTGTAGAGATGCATGGGAAGCACTGGCACGGCATACCTTCATGCGTACAGTTGCCGTGTCTGCATGGTGGGTGTGTGGTTGCAATGTGCTTGCATCAGCCTGCATGCACCCAGCATGTGAATCAAAGAACCACAGGATCATTAAGGTTGGAAAAGTCCACTAAGATCACCAGGTCCAACTGTCAACCACTCCCCACCATGCCCACTAAACTGTGTTCCTCAGTGCCACATCTCCACAGTTCCTGAACACCTCCAGGGATGGTGATTCCACCACCTCTCTGGGTAGCTGTGCCAGTGCATCTTTCTGAGAAGAAATGTTTCCTAACACCTCCAGTGATGGGGCATCCACTGTTTCTCTTGGCAGGATTTAGGGGTTGCACACTTCACAAGCCTACCCATCACCCACACTTTACTATCACTGCCATCTACAGCATCCAAAACTTAGAGACTTTACCCACACAAGGCTGATAAGGGATGTCCGTGCTGCAAAGTATGAAGGAATGTGGTATAATAAGACAAATGATGATGAAAGCATTTCTAAAAAAAGGAGCATGATCAGAGATTTTATTATGGCTCATGACTTCAGCAAGATAGTGAACCTTGCAAGAGAAACAGAGATTTCTAAATGAAGAGCATATATGGGCCTAAATTTCTTAAGGAAGTCCCTGAAATAAGCCTTAATGGTACAAAGAGCTGGGCTTCTGTCAACTCAAGAGATCTGTGCATCATGCTGTGCTCATGTTCCTAGGATAAAATGTCTTTATCAGTGACCCCTGTCACTTCAAAGGTTTTTCTTGTGGAGAAAACTTTATTTGAATTTCCCATAAAAAACTCAGGAAGACTAGTTCATGTGATGCTCAGCTTGAATTTGCCACTGGAAAACAACAACAACAGACTCAACAGATGAAAAGTGCCAGACAGAGAAAACAATTAACACACAAACAAAGTGGGCTGTGAAGAGCCTTCTCACAAGCACGTATTTATAGCAAGAGGTGAAAGAGAGGCAGTGTAGTACTGATAGTCTTTACCCTGTTACAAGGTGAAATAAAAATATTTCTCTTCCTAGCTTCCTTGGATATAGCCCAAATAGAATAAAGTAAAACTTAGCTGGCATCTGCCTCATTCCTCAAGCTGTGGGACCTTTCAAAAAGAGGCATTGTGAATGATTTTGCCACTCTTCCTCTGGCCCTACTGCCTTCTTCTAACAAAACCTTATCTTCAGTCAGTGCCATCCCCCAGTGCTACAACACTCACCCTTAATCCAGTAATTACCCAGCCTAGTAAATTATTGCAGTTAAGCCCCTTCCCAGCTGCAGCCCAGGACAGCCTCCGCAGCCAGCCCAGTGAAGACCAAAGCTCATTTTGTTGACCCGTGTCTCATCCCACTGAGCCTTGGTCTGAAAGTAAAGAAAGAAATCGCTAAATCTTCAGACACAAGGCAAAGATTTTTATAGATACCAAAAATCTATTGATGGGCTCAGATCAAGGGCTTTTTAATTGAGTGAGCAACGTTAATTAGTAAAACTACTGACTTCTAAATACCACGAGACCTAGGGCTACAGATTTCCATTGCGAGAGGACAATGCACTTTTCAAGGTCTAGAGAGCATTTTTCCCTTGGCTGTTCTGCCCTTAAATACCAAAAAGTTTTGCAGCTAATTGTGGAGGCATTTGGATGGGGCAGTGACAATCAGACGTCACTTCTCTTCAGCTGAGGGAAACGCTGAAAGGAGTCTTCAGAGATGTTTGTCTTTGGCAGGAGAAGAAGTGTGGAAAAAAAAACACAAGGTGTTTCTCGAAAACAGAAAGATCAAAGGTAAAAGCATTTGGGCAGATAAAATGGCTGCAAAGATTATTACTTCTTAACATATAAATTACTCAAATCGCTCCCATCTGTCTGCCTCCACCACCATATGAAAAGGGAGACCAAAGGCTTAGCTCCCAATACATTAAATCCTAATAAATCCACCCGTGTTTTAAGTTGTAATACATGAAACACTTTTCCTGGAAAAACCGTCTGCAGGCCAGCAGCAGAGGCTTTACAACATGTTTGTTATGGAATCAGGATAAAAAGCAGGGATCAAACTGCAGCAGCTCAGCAGCGAAGGATTGCTGCAAATGTAGAAACTATAACTGTAGTAACAGGAACTTGAAGACAGGAGGAAGAATCTTAGCAAAAGAAACGGCCTTGCTGGGAAAAACGCAGCAGAGTTTATGGCCCCAATCTTTATTAGCTGAGGAAGTCAGTGCAAGCTTCTGGGGGAAAAAATAGGGAAAGAAATAAAAAGGAGTTTAAGATCATTTTAATGGTTTGAGGCCAGATTCATAGCAGACCTGAGCTGTGTCTGGGGACCTCACCTCTATTTTTAACATTCCTTTAAGTTTTCCCATGAAATGATGTCCAGGAGGCTGACAAAGGCCATATTTCTCCTGCCCTGCCAGCCCCCTGGAGGCACCCAGCAAATCTTCAAACCATTCTCCTGTTCCACAGGTCCTGACCCAATTTTGGAGCTGTCAGCAGCCCTTTCCCCAGCAGGTCACCCAAAATAAGGACTTGAGCCACCATGTCACAAACATGCACCACCCAGACAGCTGGGAAGAATGTT